CACAGTTCAATGGCAGAGGTAGAGGGGAGGAGATAAAAGGGTTAGTCAAGGGCAGAAGGATAATCAGAACACTGGAGGCATCACAGCAAAATGTCAGGCTCATTGAGAAGAATGACACCTCATGAGCCCCTTAGAGAGGGAAACGTGGATGTGAGAGGCTGTATTTCTGCTTCAACCCACTCACAGCATCTAAATCTGAAGACTAAAAGGGTGGGACATCATGTCTGGATAGCTATATATAAAATAATACCTGTAGGAGATGTTTAATTTGGGCCTTAAGAAGACAATAAAGGACTTAATGAGAATGACCTAACCTACACTCTGTAACGAAGATAATGTTACTCCATATATGGAGACACCAAGCTATAAAGACCTTACACAAAGACCTAAACAAATGAAGAGATATACCATGTTCATAGAAGGGAAGACTCAACATATTAAAGAAGTCATTTGTCCCCACATAGATCTATAGGTTTACTAAATGTTTGTCAAAACTTGAGGAGGAATTTTTTTGTAGTTATGGATGAATTGATACAAAATTAATATAGAAAAAATAGCTAAAATAATACTTAAAAGGAAGAATAAAGTTGAAGGACTCATACCACCTGATTTTAAAGACTTAACATATGGCTATAGTAATAAAAATGTGCAGTCTTGGGAAAAAGTAGACGGGTAGATTAATGGGACAGACAGAGAGTCCAAATATGGAGAAACACACACAAAAAACTTTTTTTACAAAGTTTCGAACACAATTCAGTGGAGGAAGGATAGTATTTTCAACAAATGGTATTGTTATTGGACAGGCATAGCCAACAAAATCCTCAATCTAAACCTCACATATTATAAAAAAATTAACTTATAATTGATAATAGATTTAAATATAAAATGTAAAACTCTCACACTTTTAGAAGAAAACAGGAGGAAAAAAAATCTTTATTACTTAAGACTAGGCAAAGATGTCTTAAACTAAAAGCATAATCCATCAAAGAAAGACATCAGTCAATTAAAGTTCATCAAAACAAAGATTTTTTTACTTTGCAAAAGATATTGCCAAAGGAGATGAAAAGGCCAGGCAAAGACTGGGAGAAAATATTTGCAAGTCCTATATCTGATTTTAAAAGTTGTATCCAGAAGGTATCAAGGCAGCTCTCAACTCAACAGGACAAAATAGAGAAAAAAAAATTAAGAAGAGGACAAAAGATTTGAACAGACACTTCATCAAAGAAGATACACAGATGGCAAATGAGCACAGGAAAAGATGCTCAGCACCGTTTGTCATCAGGGACATGCGAGCTCAAGCCCTGAGATACCAGGACAAACCCATCTGAACAGCTAAACTAAGAATACTCACGACAGCAGTGGGGCCGGGATTAGGAGCAACCGGCCTCGCGTGGGTACATCCCCTGGTGGAATGCAAAATGATGGTGTGGTCACTCTGGTAAAAGTGGCAGTTTCTTATAAGGTAAACATGCCATGGCTGTACGACCCAGCAATAAACTCTATTTATCGTAGAGAAAAGAAACACTTACATCCACCTGTGAAAACCTGTACACAAACATTCACAGCACAGCCAGGGCGGGAAATAATCCAGATGCAGGTCAGTGGGCAAACAACAAACAATATACCCCATACCAATAGGTATAATTGTATGATGCCATAGTTCTCAGCAATAACAACATTAATAAAATCCCATCCTCTCACTAAAGGGACTCTAATTTTACCTGTAATGGTGTAAGGTTTTTAGCAGACAATCTTTGTGTACTCTTTGTGTTGAATTTTTAAAATTGCTTCCTCTCTTGTTATAAATTACAAAACCACCTCCCATAGCAGCTCCTACGTGTGGGTCCCTCCCTGGCATGCCAGTGACCCTCACCAGTTCCAACCCCTCTGTCCTGCTCCACCAAACCTTGTTCTTTCCTGCACCGTCCATTTTTCCTTTTCTACTACATCATTTCTGTTGTTAAATATACAGAGAGGCTACTGACTCCCATCTTAACAAAAAAAGAAATCTCTCTTGACCCGATTTTCCCCTCCAGCTAAAGCTCCATTTCTAGAAAGCAGTGTCTGTTCTTCTTGTCTTCAGTTTCTCTCCTGACTCCCTTCAGACATTCGCCCCCTCCCCCTCAGTGAAGACCTCCCCTTGCCAGATGCACACCTGCTCCTCTATGTTCACCTCACCTGGCCCCTCGGCAGGGATTGTGCTGGGAGCATCCTTCCCCTCCTCCTAGCACCGCCTTCACTTGCCTTCCCAGGTGCTCCACTCTCCGGGCTTCCCTCTGCTTCACTCTGCTAACTCCTTCTCACCCCCTCCTGAAGGGGCAGTTCTTGCTTGCTTTTCCCACATTCATTCCTGTCGTGAACTCGTCTGGTCTCCTGACTTTGTAGACTACATTCTATCACATTTAAGATGCCCTCAATTGTAAGGGATAGGTCACTTGAAAATTAGAATTTTGATTTACTTCTCAAATAAATAGAAAGTACCTCGGCCTCACACATCTGCAGAATTTGGGAGAAGACATCATGAGTTAGGAGGAAGTGTGTGTAAAGATAATTAAAAAGTCATTTGTGGGAATGGACAATGGCCTGGTGGTTAGGTATGTGGGCTCTGCTACCAGGTGGCCTAGGCTCACATCTGGGCTCTGCAACCTTGGGCAGGCTCCTAGACCTCTCTGGGCCTTGATTTCTTTGCTAAAAAGTGGGCAGGATATCCCTACCCTATGGTCTATTTACATATAAGCCACCAGTGTTCATGAAATTCTGAGACATGCCAGAAAGCACTGTCTTCAGACTGCACATGGTCTTTAGAGGTGAAACTGTTTTTGTTTCCTTAATTCAATGAAACCCACATTTTAACAGCGCTGTTTTCTTTGGGAAAAGAACATGGAGAATGTTTACGAAGTATTTTCGAAGTAGCAATGTTTTAGATGTCAGCATTGTTTTCTTTCCGGTGGAATATACAGAGCCAGCTCAAAGAGAATCTACTCCAGAAAATTCCAGAGTAGCAATAGGGGTGTGCTTATATGGCTAAATGAATGATTTATTATTAATGTACTGGGAATGGCCTCCTCTTCTCACACTAAAATGCTTTCCCCACACTTTCTGGCCCACATGAGAAAGCAAATCGGGAAGTAAGATTTAGCATTTATGGGATTATCTAACGCAACACCTTATAGGAAGGATACAGTTCCACTGACCTCCATGGTGGCAGTTCAAATTGCTGCTTTGAGAGCAGCCCCAGCTATGGCTGAAGCCCTGACTCTGAAAGTTCCAGAACACTCCTGTAACAGTGTTACAGTGTTGTCCTGTTGAGTCCCAGTGTGGACACTACATTATGTTTCTATTCCAGCCGGAGGGCATAGCCCCACTGAAAGCCTATTTCAGATTTCTTTCTCTCAAGCCTGGTGGTTTTTTTTTTTTTTAATATTAATTATTTTTTCAGTTCTCCCGGGGATTAATGGGTTGACTTAATGAAAGTCCTCATAAGGAAAGTAAAGGCTAGCTTTCTACATACAGGACAAACATCACAACCCATAGCCCCTGCAGAGCTCCTGGTCAATTCATTCTTCTCCTGGGGCTGCCACTGCCCCTGTGGCCTAAAGAGACGACCTTGTCGGTGCCCTGAGATGTGCTGAAGCCAGCCTCTGGGGCTGCTACCCCATCTCCCTAAAGAAAAAATACATCAGTGAATTACATAGCAAACATATCCCTGCATTCCCCCAAAATGGCAGGCTTTGCACTCTCCTGGGAAAAAAGTGACCAAAAAAATGGCAAGGAATAAGAATATTTGGCCGAGTGAGCAATATGCTACAACTTTCACAGGGAACTCAGAGTCAAACTATTGCCTGGTGGGAAATGCCCTGATTTTCCTGATGAAGGATCTGAGGTGCAGAATGGTGAACAAGTATTTTCTTTTTTCCCCTAACACAATCCAGCTGTCCTGGGTGTCCTGACCCCTCCAGGGCAAAGTCTATATCATAGAGATGTGCCTCTGACTGCCTGGGTTTTCTGTCCTCCCCCCAAATGTGATTTCCTTAATTTGCTGTATAACCCTTAGGGGCAATCGGGTCATGGCCGGCAGAGCATTGGGTACTAAGTCACAGAAGGGTTGAAGGGCAGCAGTGTTCATTCATGACCTTGCACGCATGTGTCACCCTCCAGAAACCGTGAGTCGGCCAAATGCAATCACAGCAGCACTTTGTGGCTTCCCAAGAGGCCACTGAGAATCACATGGCTTCTGCTCTCTCCCAGGGCCTCTCATGATTTAAAAATGCTGGAAGCTGTGGAAGGCTGCCCCACCCTCTGCATCATTCAAAAGAAAACCAAGAGGCAGAGGCTACTTGTGGTTCTTGCATGGAAACATTCATGAACGATTTTTAAAAGTTAGATCGCTATCCCTTCATTTAATTTCTTGGGGCTTTACTCATCGAATCTAGTGTATTCTTAAAGTCTGAAAGATGGATGGAAAAGATATAAGGCACTTAACACCTACGAAGAGGGCACAAACCCACCTGACAAACAGCTTTGAAAAGACGATGATTTTAGATCTTGTGAATTTTTCTATCAGAGAAATGATGCAGAAAAAAACATGCAGAGAAATAGATGGGGCAATACACACCCAAATGCTTTCATGAATAAGACAGTGTCTTCTTCTCCTTTCCCGAACTGCCTTGAAGAGAGCAAGAATTTCATACGTGAGCTTTGTAATACGTTGCAAAATGTCAGTGTCTATTTGAAATTCAAATGTACACAAGATGTACACATTTTATTTTCCAGTTGTTCTCAGGATTTCTAAATAAAGCATTTCCCCTGTGTAGGCAATGCCTGGGTCCCGTCATGGGGACAGTGTTTGGGTCTCCCTGCCAGGGTCAGGAAGGCTGTTCTTCCAGGAAGGGCTGCAGGGACCCTGGGAACTGGACCAGCCCCGCTCACAAGTATGAAGAGAATGTCGGGAGAGGAAGTGGTGGCTATGAGTCAGCATGAGTAATCTCGTTCCAGTGAGAATGAAGGCTGAGGTGTGCGCCTTTTTTTTTCTGTCTCAATCGTGTGGACATCACTGGGAATGGAGAGAAATAAGTGACTGGATGGTCGCTGCTTTTTTTAACTTTCAAACCGGCATTCCAGGCAAGCCGTGCCCGGGGCCAATGCATGTCTTCAGATCTTCACGGCCAGTTCCTGGGAAGGTGGTGCCACTGGCTTCTCCCTGGTGAGTATGTTTCTATCATTTTTATGATCATTTCTGCAGTTTGCCTTGGAGTTTGAGTTGTGGGCAAGGGTGTTGAGTCCTGGAGTGGACACTGCATTTTGTTCAGACTTTGAAGAGCTATAATTTTACAAAAGTGGCTCCCTCTGCCCCCACCCCCACAGTTACTACATTTTGCCCTGTCTGCCGGGAAGAGTTTCTTAGGGGTTAATTGTGAGGATGCAGGTGCTGATTGTTACATGATGTGATCTTAGAAGAGGTAGCAGCGCTGCTGGACTAGGAAACAGGCTGCTCGAGATGGCTCTTGAGAAGCCAAAGTGAAATTCAGAGATGGAAGTGGGTATACTTGTGCCGCCCCAGGGGTGCTGAGGTTGGGTTGGCTTCCTCTTCTCGGGGGTGGAGGAAAGCAGCCCCTGGGCCATTTCTGGCCTTGTGGTTGGAGCTGCCCGGTTTTAGTGCAAGAAATTGGAGAGAGAGACAGAATGTTGGCTTCTCTGAAAGCACATGAATGATTCCAGGGCCTTATTTTATGTCCTTTCCTTTTCCTTCATGCTGAAAGTCACAAACTGTGGGAGAATCAGGAAGAAAATAGAACTACTGGGGACTTGGGCTTGGGGGGCTGGGGAGGGGGTGAGGATGGGGTCATGGAGTCCTTGAGGCCTGACTTTGATCTTGATAGGTATTGCTCGAGCTGTTACTATTCTGACAAAGTTTAGTTTTACTGTCAAGTAAAATACAGGAAACCTTTTTTTTTTTTTAAATGTCGTTGTAGTTACTGTAAATGAAACGGTTAAAATGACATAAATACCTTATGATAAACATTTTTCAAATTTGCTTAAGCAGCAGCACATCAGCAGTCAGGGCATGACAGGGAGCTTTTTCAGTACAGTCATTTGAGTATGTGGGCTTCCTGGGTTAATAATGAGTCAGCACCGATTTCTAAAATTGGAGCCTCGAAGAGAACTGCAGTCTACCCCCAGCACAGCTCGGTGGCTGACCAGCCCCCTAGAAAGGTTTGGTGTTTGAACTTTAAGACTTTGGATGCCTCCCCTGGGTAGGTGACTGACTCCAACCTTAGTTCTCAACTCCTCCAGGTGGCGGCTGGGAGTCCCCTGCGCTAAGGGCTCTGTTTCCAGGTCAGGAGCAATGTGATTGGCTTCCATCCTTTGGCTGCTGATGATTTTTAGGGTCTGCCTTCAGGGAATAGGCTGAGCACTTAGTTTGCTAAATGAACAATCCAGTGTTCATTAAAGGCTGCAGTGGGCCAAGGGTTGAAGCTGCATCTGGTGTCCTGTGACGTTCGTTCCGCTTACGTATCACCCTGGTTGGGGGATTGGGCAGGAGCGTCGGTCGGTTGTGGCATGAACTTCAAAGTTGGCATTCTGCATGTGACACATAGCGTGGGAAGATTAAGTCAGCTTAAAATGAGAGAGCAAGATTCCAAGAAGAAAAGCTCTTACTCTTCTTGTAAATAAAATGAGAGAGGTGTTAATAAAAGTTTTAAGGAAGGGGGGTGGCTCGATAGAGGGAGGGTAATGGTGGGCCCACATCTATGGAGCATATTGCCAGGGTACAAGTCAAGTCTATCAAGTATAGAACACAAATGTCTTAACACTGTGATTAAGTAAATGAGGTGAAAGCTATGTTAATTAGTAGGATGTAAGCACTCCAATTTGTACAAATAATCAACACATTGAATCGCACAAAGGCATAAATGCATTCATGATCTATGTATATATGACTTCACAAAATAAATAAATGAAAGAAAAGTTTTAAACAATGAAATAGCAAGGGTGCAGACCAGCAGCTCGAAGGCCTGGAGCAGCTGCTTAGAATCTGTCCCCCATCAGGTCTGTTTGGTCTGTTCAGGGTTGTTTTTTTGTGTTTAGATAACTATGGGTGGGGTTCACATTCTCTGTATCACAGGCCCTGACACACCCTGATGCCACAAAGTTTGGATAGCATGATTGGAGGGGAGGCTCAGCAGCCAGGCTGCCCCAAGTCCTACTGCTTGGCCTGTGGAGACACCACCTGCCTCAGGACTCAGTGAGTTAGTACCTGCCCCGTGCACCAGCCTGGATGTAGAAGGGACTTGGTTAATATTAGCGCTGTTGGGTTCTCTGATTTACTTGGCCTCTGAAGGCATTTGGGCTTGCAGCTTTGAGTTAGCTCTACGGCTTTCTCAAGAAAAATCCTGTGGTTCCAATGTAGGCCACGGTTGTTCCGAGGTTGAGAATCACAGTGTTAAGGCAGATGCCAGGCATTTCTAAAGTGGGAAACTATCCCTGTTTGTCTCTGTGAGTAGTTTTCATAAGAGCTCAGAGAAATGCCACCTTTGTGGAGACAAGAGCCTGTTGAAGACATGTTGCTTTAGATGGTGTATTGGGAGTTGGGGACACTGTCTCACCCCCTTTCAAAGAAGGCACGGTCATGGGCCTGTTCTTCTCACCCCGCCCCAGGTCTTTTCATCCCCCTGTGAGTGCTGTAGGGAAATGGCTGGGGGTGGCTGATTTCTATCCTAGACGTTGATTGAGTTCTTCGTGTAGACTCAACAGTTGTCTGCATGCTGGGAGTTGAGTCACTTTTTACCAAGGAGAAACAAGACTGTGGTGCACTGATATTTTTGCTTGTGTAATAGGTAGAACGATTCATTGGAAAGGTCAGAAATAAGGCTGTGTGCCTATCTGGAAACACAGCAGTGATTAACCTGTGATTTGTGCTTTGTCGTGTCTTCTAACACCAGAAGGAGCCACTTCTCAGCGTAGATACAGCAGCGGGTAAAGAGGGAAGCAATCTATGGGAGAAACCAAACATGTAGTGTAAATGGACATCTCCTGCAGGCAGAAAATGCTGACAGTTTGCGGACATTTGAAAGTTGGCCAGTGATCTGTTGTCATTGTGCCTTTGGCCTAGGGCCTGGCCAGTGGCGTGCTGGCCCTGCTCTCAGTACCTCCTGCCCAGAGGTTTCCACAGTACCTGACTGGCATCCCCACCACCAGTTGCCGTGTAGAGAGCTCACCCCTGTGTTGGCAAGTTTTTTTTTTTTTTTTTTTTTGCTGGAGCTGGGTTTGAACCTGCCACCTCTGGCATTTGGGGCCGGCACCCTATTCCTTTGAGCCACAGGCACCACCCAGTTGGCAAGTTATTTAACTTCTTGGTGTCCCACCTTCCTCGCTGTGAAGTCAGGAAAATAATAGCACCAGTCTTGTGAGTTCTTATGAAAGTTTGTGATTAGTGCACAAGGTAGGAGGAGGCACAGTAACTGTTAAGTGCATGTTCATTTATTCAGAAATACACATGTAACCAGACACCTTGGTCTCTCTACTTAGGTCTCTCAGCCCTGAGGCACCCATAAAAAGTTGATTCTCATGCCCCCAAAGGGAGACCCCTTTTGTGTTGTCAGTTTCATGGCATGTCCACATTCATGGGAAATGTATTTATTAGGCCAATGGGAGAACCTCCTGGGTTCTCTCCAGGAAAACTTGGGGTTCTAGATGTCTTCATCATTATCAGCATTGTCCTCAAGGTCATCATAACTGGAACAGCTTTGGTTTCATGCAGCCCCAGCCATATAGTAGTAACTTCATGTGCATTCCCTTTAAATCCCCGTCCTATACACACACACACACACACACACACACACTCACTCCCACCCTGTAAGGAAGGGTGGGAGGAAGACAGGTTACTCAACTCACTCCAGGCCCCAGGATGCCTTAGTAATTCTGGCACAGCTCCAAAGACCGCATCAGTAACAGGTGAGTCCCTTGTACCACTCAGGAGAGGAGAATCAAAAAAAGCAGGGATTCAGGAGGGTTTTGTGTGTAATCCAACCAGTCTAAGGGCATGGGCCAGCAGGACTGCTGGTCTCAGACCTGCCCCGGAGTGGAAGCAGCTGGATTCTGCATGCACGCTTCCTGTCCACAGCCAGCTACAGGCAGCTCTAGTCATCTAGATTCTGTTGTTTAAAAATCGTCACAGAATATGGAGATGACTCATAGTGAAAAAAATTGAATAAGATATACTTAAAACTTAAACCAAGGTGAGCATAACATGGCCTTTACTTGCTAATTCTAAAGATAATTCAAGATCATATAAAACCCCAGAGAAAGGATTCTCATATCCATTCGTCTAGGTCCAAAAGAAGGAAAATCCTGTCCTTTTGATCATTCTACCTTTTCTGGTATTGGGCCATCACGGTGAAGCCTGGGATGTTTTATATGTATCTGTTCTGAGTGTTCAAGTTTGAATGTGAGAACTGTCTGCACTGTGTTTTTCATTTGCAGATGGTACTAATCTGGAGGGGAATTTTTCCTGCAACCATCCCTCACATCACAATGCAGAAGACTCTTCTACCCATGTTGCTGTGGACTGGGCAGTGATGTGCTTGACCCAGCACTGCAGGGCAGGATTGTGCTCCCTATAGACTCTCGAGGGTTCTGGTTGGATTGCAGAGCTGAGGCAAGGAAAAGCCAACAGCAAATCAGAAGGCAGTTGGGCCCCCAGGAAGGGGGGAGTGGGCAGGATGCCTGACTGGTCTCAGAAGATTCCTTCTGATTAAAAAAATAGATGTTATTGCATTTTGTATGATCAGAACAGCTAAGGGTGCTGGCAGATCTTATCCACTGTGGTTTTCCTGCTTATCTTTTGCTTTCAGGATTGATGCCCTACAAGGGAGGGTTTCTGCTACAGGGGCTTTTAGCCCTTCTCACCATCCTGTCCTTTTTCAAATTTAAAAATCTTGGCATTTTTAATGATGGCAGAAAATATATTATCTTAGCAATTTTCACTGGGTAAATCATGACAGAGTATAAGAGGGATGCATGAGTTTCTATCAATTCAGCTAGATCTGAAGGAAAATTTATAAAATAGCAGTGGCCCCAAAGAGTTCAGCTTATTTTCTCTTAGCCAGAAATACAGTTCTCTTCCCCTGTCTGTCCTATTCTCATACAGGAAGCAAGTTGTCCAGGGCAAGGGTTAATAAGCAGCCAGTTCATCTATCCGCC